TGAATTTTGGCTTAAACCCTATAGAGGTTTTACAATCTGTCACATTTATTTTAAATAAAGCTTGATTTTATGTTTCTTTCTTTGTCTAGATGTTCTTTAGTATGACTTATTGGATGCTGTTTGCATTGTTTGGAGCACTTACTTCATGTGAGTACAATAATTAGCCTCAATACGGGATGCTGTTTGCATTGTTTGGAGCACTTATTTCATTAAATACGATAATTAGCCTAAATACGGGATGCTGTTTGCATTGTTTGGAGCTCTTAATTCATATGAGGGTAAGAATTACCTAAATGTATTCCACGAATGGTTGTGCTATTTAAAAATTTAGGAGTTCAATACTATAAAAATGGTGATACTAAACTAGGATTATTTTGCATTTTTTATAATCAATATTTCCGAAATACACATACATATAAGTATAAACATAACAAATATTAAACATTTTCAGTAGTCCACTTGGAGTGGTATAAGTAGAAATTCTTACACAGTACAATTATTGCATTCAATCTACTTGTTCATCAAAACTTTTAAGCACATATACCACATTTAGATTAAAATTCATTAAGTTGCCACCATGTGTCGCCAGAAGCACAACATTCTGACATTACCGTCTGCTCGTGTAATACAGAAAAAAAATATTATTTTGAAATTATCAAGAGCAAAATCAAATAGAAATTTCTGCGAATAGCAAAGTAAAATACGGCGATTTGTTGAGTTCGATTCAATATGAAATATAAAACATCTGAGAAAATCCTTCATCTTATCTAACACTGTTAAAGTACTTTATTATAGAAAACAACTTAAAACTGAAATAAATATAAAATCCATAGTCATAAAACAATGGTATTAAAAACTTTAAAAAAAATGAGTTGTTATTTTTACATACTTTACTCAATAGATGACACTAGCTACTGGTTATTTAAAATGTCAGGAAAAAAAAACTGATAAAAAAAACTTCCTACTTTTGCTTTTTATAGTTCCACCTGAAAGGGAAGTTATCAACAAAGAAAGATCATCCGGAACTTACAGATTATCTGCTTATTACTTGGCTAAAATGATTGGAGAATTTCCTCTCACTGTCACTCTTCCGTCAGCATTCCATTTCATCTCTTACCCAATGTTAGGATTGCATGATGGTCGGATTTTCTTGAGTCTATGGGGTTTCCTCCTCCTCAACACTATTGTTGCTCAGGTAGGAAGAGCGCTGATATCTAATCGCAGTAAACATTGAAATGCTCTAGCTACAATGTATGGAAACTTTGTATTCAAACTTGGGCGGTAGCCTTTAAAATCATTATTTACTTCATGTACAAGCTGTTTGTGACGCATGGTAATGTGCATTTAATATTTCGCCCTTAAAACGCACGTATACAGTTTTTGCGACAACTCTCATTTTCATATCGAATTTCTTGTGAAACTGAACTGTAGCTCAAAATTAAAATTATTGGAACAGATTCTTTGAATTTATTCATTCTTGCTTATTTTTCGCTGAGCCATAAAATATTGAAAATTTACCTGCAAAGTCTGAAACCGACATTAAACACACAGTTACCTTTTCCCGGTAATAACTTCTCGGATAGTGACTTGTGCATTTTTATGCTACTTCCTCATCTCTTGTAACATTAAACAAACAATTAAGCACTAGCGTTTCAACATCCAGTTTATATAGCTATACACGGTTATTGATTTATTTCTTATATTTTGCTTGAAAAATGACAAACCTTCACATTAGATACGGGCATGTTCAATTAGATTACCAAAAATTAAGGTGTGATAATACGTTCTAGAAGAAAATAAATCATAAACTAGCTATGTAGGTACTTCTAGACGAATATATGCACATCAACTACCCGAAAAGTACAAAAGTATCGAACAAAAAAGAACGATTTGTTTGTTTGTTTTGAATTTCGCGCAATGCTACACGAGGGCTATCTGCGCTAGCCGTACCTAATTTAGCAGTGTAAGACTAGAGGGAAGGCAGCTAGTCATCACCACCCACCACCAACTCTTGGGCTACTCTTTTACCAACAAATAGTGGGATTGACCGTCACATTATAACGCCCCCACGGTTGAAAGGGCGAGCATTTTTGGTGGGACGGGGATGCGAACCCGCGACCCGCAGATTGCTAGTCGAGCGTCCTAACCACCTGGCAAGAAAAAGAAAAAAAGAACGAAGTATGGAAAATATTTTCCCGGAAACAGACAGTTGGAACAGAACAAGGTGAAACCGATAGCTTTGTGAAATATATGAAATGTATTTCGTTTATTCCAAAAGCAAAACAATTATTTTTTCTGGCTAGGACTATTAAACTTTTATAGGGATTCTTACCATCAGCGCGAAAATGTTTGTAGGGCACCGTTTAGACATTGTAACTGAAAGTTCTTCCTTCCATGTAAGTCACTTACCCTCTTTCGAATTTCAAAAGTATTTTAAATAAACCTAGGTTTATTCGTTACAAAAAATGCTCAATTCACACACTAATAAGTTTCATGTTTCTTTACCTAAAAGATTTAAAAGTTTTCCCCGCAAACCTTATTTTCTGTTTTTTTTTAATTGTTTGCTTTTCAAGCGCAAAGCTGCACAATCGACTATCTGTGCATGTACTTCACGAGCATCGAACCTCAAATTTTAGTGTTATAAGTTCCCAAGCTTATGGATGAGGCATCGGGTGGGGGTTCTAAACAAATACAACCTGTATCTCATCGCCTACATCTGTTGTTTTTGCTACTGGATTGGTCTAGTGGTTAGGGCGCTCAATTCACAATTTGTGGGCCTCAGGATCAAAACTGCTCACCCTCTGTCATAAGTGCGTTATAATGTGACGGTCAGTCCCACTATTCATTAGTAAAAGAATAACCCAAGAGTTTGCGGTGGGTGATATCTATTACTTCAAAATTGTGAACGGCTAGCACAGATAGCCCTTGAGTAGCTTTGTCCAAAATTCAACCAAACAAGCTACTGGATTATGATAGATAAACGTTTATACTAGTTTAGTCTTTAAGTTTGAGTTTAATTTTCGATATAAAGAAAATAATCATTGGCTGACATTTAAAAGACGTAATATAAACGAAGAAATATATTTTCAAACTGTTATTTGGTGTCCTTAGAAGTCTGTCGAATATATATAAGTGTTTAACGTAATAAGCTAAGATATGTAATAAGTATTGATGCATTTCAGTTAAATGTTGAAGTTATTGTTTCAAGTAAATGTTTTAATAGATTATTTTAAAATATTTTCTGATTAGTTGCAAGATGGTGCAATAATCAACTCGCGAAAAACTGCTGTCATGCTAATATCAGCTATCAGCAGGTCCCCCGGTGGGACATCGGTAAGTCTACGGACTCACAACGCTAAAATCCGGGGTTTGATTCCACATGTAGGTGATCTCATGTCAGAATGAGTTTTGTATCCAATAAATGTTTCCAGTTTTATGACAAGCGTTTTATAACTATATATATATATGTATATATACAACAAATATTAAAGAACCTTATAAAGTATTTTTAAAGTTAAATCGTCCAAAAAGGGTAAGATTCCAAAAGCTTCTGAATATCTTTATCCATATATGAAACATTCTCCTCCTCGTTTGTTTGTTGTTAAGCACAAAGCTACACAATGGGCTGGCTATATGAGCTGTGCCGACAGTGACTATCAAAACCCTATTTTTAACTTTATAAGCCCTCAGATTTACCGCTGAGCAATAGGGGGCTAAAAATTCTCTGACATCAGTCTTAAGACATTACACATCCATTGTGTATTTGGTGATTAAATGCTTTTAAATAAATTGCCTCAATCTCTTTGTAGTTTGAATATCTAAAGAATCTGAATATTCCTGTCATGTCGACGACTGTATAAATTACCTTCTATGCCCATATTTCTTTTTCAGAGTGTAGGACTATTAGTGGGAGCTACCTGTGTTGACCTCCAAGTGTCAGTGACCGTCTCAGCATTATATTCCCTGTCTACCATGCTCTTTGGAGGTTTCTATGCCAAGTCCATACCTTCTTGGCTGCTGTGGTTGCGATACCTTTCTATAGTCCATTATGCTTTTAATAATATGCAGATTGTAGAATTTGGTGGTGGTGTACCAATAAGGTTTGTAAATATGTGAAATAACGAATATCGTAGCATTCAGTGAAATTAAGCACACACACACACATCCTGTTGTAGACATATATGTATAGACATAGCTTAGCCTCCATAACCTTTAATACAACCAAACTTCTAGTTTAAAAAGGGACCATTTCCTAAGAATATGTACAATGAAAAAGCGTACAACGTTAAAATAATTGCACAATAAAATTCATTAAAACTAGGGACCAGCCATACATCTTTTGGTGTTCATAATCAAACTTTAACTTTCACTCCCGAGGATGGCGGCGTAGAACACCGAAACATGTAGTCTTTGTAGTGCTGGGCCCTAGTTTTAATGAATTTTATTGTTCAATTATTTTAACGTTGTACGCTTTTTAATTTTACATATGATAATAATATACTAGAAGGTTCAGTACTGTATTTAAATGGCATTAGGTGTTGTGTTTGGAAATATCACAATAAGGCGCTCACAAAGATGTCGATCCAAGGAAGTTTTTGCATGAAGAAAAAAATTATTTCGTAAAATAAAATGTCCAGATTATACCAGAGTCATTTACTTTAATAAACTACTCAAAAATATAGAGGAATCTTGAAAAATAAGTTATTCCGTAAAATAAAGGGTCCAGATGAATGCCATAGGCATTAACTTTAATAAACTACTCAAAAATGTAGAGAAAAGAAAAAGATTATTCCGTTGAAGAAAAGGGTGCAGATGATTGACAAAATCATTTACTTTGATAAACTACTAAAAAAGTAGAGAGGAACCTTAAAAATGAAAACTTATTCCTAAACTATGCGCAATCTGTAACTTTAAGGATCATATCTGTAAATAAATCCACATCATAACTACAGTCACTTTTCCTTTTTTTTCGTTTTTAGTTGTGCTCCTCATTATTCCCAGTTTGAAGCTTGTCGTCATGGAAACAGCTCAGTAATTCTACTCGAAGACATCATTGATCATCAAGGAATGTGGCTCCCTCTCTGGGCTAATACCTTAATTTTGTTAATATTTTTATGTATGTTTAGACTTATGGGGTATCTTATATTAAGATACATTCGTAAGCCTAGGTAAAAGAGAAGTTCGATGTTTGGATGATGAGGCTCAGATGTACATAGTAACGTAATTAATCTTTAAACATCTTGAAAAAAAGAAGAGCATGTGTTTAGGACAGCAGTTATTGTTTGTTGAAGTTTTTCTTGCCAAGAGAATTGTTAATCGCATATTGTATTGCAGGTCATATCATTTGACACAAGGTGCTGGTCTATTGGTGCCAAAGTAAAAACTGGCTTAAACTAAGATATATCCTAATTAGATATGGATATTGTGTGATATATTGATAGTCCACATAAAAAAAAGACTAAGGATGAGCAATAAATGAATAAACGTTCGTTTTCAAAAGGATTTTAAGTTTATTTCGTGATATTAAAACTGTTGCCTTTTTGAATTATATAGACTAGACTGCACAAATCTTAATATAATATAAAAATGTCCACTGGATTTCTAGAGAATCATTAGAGTGTGTGTAATTGATGACTTGAAGTAAAATTAATTGAGTTATTTCAAGCTCAGATATAACTCTCCTAATGAATCATTTATTTGACCCTGTAATCAAAACAGTTTGCTTCCAATTTTATCACACTTGCTTGCAATAAGTGACAGTTGGTCACTTGGTTTCGCTGTATGTGGTTTAATTGAAATTCAAGGAATATGAATTTGATAGCACACTATAGTAAAAAAAAAGGTTTTAGAATTTACATAATTTGTTTTTGAGGAAATGCTTGGCTTTTTCAATGCAGAAAATATTAAGCAGCATTTTAACTTAGGGATAAAAAGTAGCATTAGTAACTTTATCAACATAAACTTAAGCCTTAAAAACGATAAGTTAAATGTAATCCTTAGTAACTTGTTTTGTTTTTTCAGTGTTGTTTTCTTAGTGCAAAGCTATACGATGAGCGAAATGCATGTTGTCTACCATAGGGAAACGAACCCCCGATTTTAGCTTTGTAAGTCCGTAAATTTACCACTGGCCCACCGAGGGACTATTGTTTTTAGTATTACTTGTTGTTGTTGTTTATTATTAAGCACAAAGCTACACAAAGGGCTATTTGTGCTCTGCCCACCACGGGTATCGAAACCCGGTTTCTAGCGGTATAAGTCCGCAGACATACCGCTGTGCTACTGGGGGGGGGGGGGGGCTTTTAGTATTACACAATTTTACACTCATCAATTTAAATTAGCCACTTATCTGTTCTGCCTTATACAATTCTAAACGTTTTCCTATGTTAAATTTAGGAAGAAAAAAATTCAAGCAATTTCGTTACAATAGTGAAGTTTTGATTCAGATGTCAGAAAGAAGACCAGCCGTCTGATACCTTCGTAATTTTATTTTCTATTTTCTATATGATATGACATTGACACTATTCTTAAGCTCCCCCATTGCATTTAGTGTAGGAGCGTTTTACATTTAGAACAGATGACTGAAGTTTTCCCAGTTGTCAACTCCAATCTTTTGTAGACATAAAACAAATAAGTGGATTCACCTCGGTGGCTCGATAATTTGTGAGTATGGATGAAATAATCTGTCCCAGTGATCAACTCAGAGAATAAATGGATGAGTGAATTTACTCCTATGTGTTCTACGGTTGTGTGTGGGAATGGATGAAAGAGTTTGTCCCAGTGATCAACTCAGAGAATTAAACCGATAAGTGGATTTACTCCGATATATCCTATGGTTGTGTGTGGGAATGGATGAAAGAGTTTATCCCAGTGATCAACTCAGAGAATTAAACGGATAAGTGGATTTACTCCGATGTGTCCTATGGTTGTGTGTGGGAATGGATGAAAGAGTTTGTCCCAGTGATCAACTCAGAGAATTAAACCGATAAGTGGATTTACTCCGATGTATCCTATGGTTGTGTGTGGGAATGGATGAAAGAGTTTGTCCCAGTGATCAACTCAGAGAATTAAACAGATAAGTGGATTTACTCCGATGTGTCCTACGGTTGTGTGTGAGAATGGATGAAAGGGTTTGTCCCAGTGATTAACTCAGAGAATTAAACAGATAAGTGGATTTACTCCGATGTGTCCTACGGTTGTGTGTGAGAATGGATGAAAGGGTTTGTCCCAGTGATTAACTCAGAGAATTAAACAGATAAGTGGATTTACTCCGATGTATCCTACGGTTGTGTGTGAGAATGGATGAAAGGGTTTGTCCCAGTGATCAAACTGTAATAGAGAGTAAAATGAACAAATAAATTCATCCAGATTATTCTCACAGCATTCTGTAAGAATGAATGTTAAAGTAGATTAATGGTTCCCCACACTTCTCTAATAATTCGTGTTACACAAAAATTGAATTTCCACCATTACACTTTCCCGTTAAAAGCGATGTTATCATTATAATTCTTACATAACAATTAAGAAAATAATATTCGCTTATTTCTGGGTATTCTGCTTTTAAATTTAAACGAATAGTTTGTTCCAGGACTTCATTCATTAGTTTATAGGATTGTATAATTTCATCTCCTACAGAAAAGCAAGTTGGTTAAATGATACCCCCCCGGTTAATTCCTCTTACAGTGAGTAAGAATGAATAATTGTTTTTCTTTTCTTAAATGATTTCTATAATTATGTGTAAAAATTTTATTTATTTGTCAGTGTTTTTGTCATGTCGGTGGTCACTTTTAATGATGTTTTCGTTCGTTTTAAAGAAAACATTACTGAGTCAATTCAACACGATGATTGTTTATTATAGAGTAAAAAAATTAGTTTATCCAATTTACCACGATGCACTAAAGGAGTAAAGAAAAATGATTGGATCATTGAGTCTATTTACCACGGTGCTTCCTGGTACTCTAGAGTTTTTTATTGAGTCATTAATCTTTTTTACTTTATGGAGTACAGAGTAAATTTTATTCAGTCAATTAACCATGATGCTTCCTGATATTGCAGAGTAAACTTTATTGAGTCAAATCAAATTGATGCTTTCTCGACTATGAAGAAAGATATGACTGATTCATTTCAATATGATGCTTACTCTGTTATAAAGTAAAATAGTTGAGTATTTCAACATGATGCCTACTTCAGTATGGAGTAAAGGTTACTGAGTCAGTTCACCACGACGCTTTCTCCAAAATATAGACCAAAACCATTCGAGTCAATTCACCATGATACTTCCAGAATCACGTAAAAAAATGTTTGAATAAATTCACGTGGATGACAATTTTTGCAGTATGCAAGGATACATGAGATAAATCGTTAGTCAATAAATTAGTGGAGTCAGTTGGCGAATTATTCAGTAAGAACGTAAGGATGCTTTTAGATTTCTTGTAAGTCTAGTGGGTTATATAATGCCACCTAGTTGACGTCTGTGAGTAGGGTACACACTTTGGTTTTCCCTTTAGCTGTACTTTATACATACATATATATATATATATATATGAATTATTTTCGGTGAAACCTGTTTTACTGCCGTATGATTGGATGAAAGTGAAATATATATATACATTAAAAGCTTCATTTTTTCTTTGTTATGCAAATAATGCAAAAGCGGTCAACAGGGTAATTATATAGATATTTGTATAATTTGATGTTTATCTGAATAAAGATAGATCTGAAGAAGAGATGTTTGTGTATATTTTGTTCTAATACAAACATAAGCACTCACTTTTTAATAAAAGTTTTCAATGATTCTCGATTCTGATCAGCAATGAACACTTCTTGATGCATAGCTGTGTTTTGAGGATCAAAAGTTATGTCTGTAAAATTAATTAAACTAAGTGTTTATAAAGCGTTTATTTGTATATAAAATATTTTATAGGTTGTCATTTTTCTTACATCCATTTACATGGTTTGAAACATATGAACTCAGATAGTATAAAAAATTTGTCTTAGATACAGTCAAGTTGTCACTCCATATCAATGAGTGTTTAGCCCTCCTATTATGGTATGTTTTGGGTCATACTGACTCATTGCAATTTCAAAACAAATGATTGGTTTTGTTTGAATTTCGCGCAAAGCTACACTAGGGCTATCTGCATTAGCCGTCCCTAATTTAGCAGTGAAAGACTAGAGAGAAAGCAACAAATCATCACCACCCACCACCAACTCTTGGGCTACTCTTTTACCAATGAATAGTAGGATTGACCGTCACATTATAACGCCCCACGGCTAAAAGAGCGAGCATATTTGGTGGGACGGGGATTCGAACCCGCGACCCTCAGATTGTGAGTCGAGCGCTCTAACCACCTACCTTGCATAGAATACGTTCGCTTTGCATAGCTTTTATTCTTTTATGTTTAAAAAATAATGTAATTAATTTGATTTAATGCCATTTTATGTAATTAAATGTGATCTCATTTTATGTAATTAACTCTCATTATAATAAACTCAAAGATATATTTCGTTGCATCAGACGGTTTACTAATTGGAACGATAATCCAGTTTGCTGCAACAAATAAGGACGGGCGTAGCCTATTGGTTAGTGCGTCAGGCTGTGGATCAAACGGTCCAAGGATTGAGACGTGACTCCGCTAAACACACCCCACAAATTCAACTGGGGGCTTGTTAAAAAAGTGAACGTCAATCCAGTTATTCATTTCAAACAGCTCGATAAAGCCATATGACGGCGGGTGCTTCTATCAGTAGTCATAAATTATGATCGTCTACTTCTGAAATCTAAAAGGTCGTCCATTTTGATAATATTATCGTAGTTTCTGCATCAAATAAAGGATACGCATTTGTAACTGTTAGGAAGAACACTAATACAATGATTACAGATAAATGGATTTTTAAATTGAGGGTACGAAATATACTTCAAATGACCAAGCTCGTAAAGCTATGTATACGTAATTATGTACTGCTCCCTTGGCGGTAGTATTCTGGTTTCTAATGGGAACATTGTAGAGACTTAACGTTTTGTAAAATGTGTGCGTGCATATGTGTGTGTGATTTTTTTCACCACAGTAGCCTAAAACTATCTTGTCATTTTTTTGTTAATTTTTATCTTAAATCCCATGATGCATCATCCTGTAGAAAAAAAAATCAGTGCTTTCAGATGTTTTATGGGGGGGGGGGAGAATAAATTCCAAAGAATAAATATATTAAGTTTATTTCTAGCATAATGAAATACTTAATGCCTATGAAATGGAATGATCTTCGTTATATTACTCATAAAAGTTTCTAGCCACATCAGTGGAATTTGGATAATGATTAGTGTTAAAGAAACTGACAATAGCACTTATGGAACATGTCGATTACATATTAAATTCCGTCTGCATCCACACGTTAGGCTCCCACTACCACATGTCATAAGGCGTGTACCATTATGAAACTCTTGGAAATGAGAAAGTTTAACGTAATAATGTCAATAAGTACTGTTAAGAACAGAGGCATTTCTGTGTTAAACATTGCATATCGAATTACCTTACATCTGACTGGTAATTAAACGAAGTACTAACGTAATTTGCCCTTTACGTTCCGCCTAACATCCTTTCGACTAGTTGTTGTCTTTTATCCCCGAGTTGAAAGTTCTTCCGTCCAACTTTGATTCTTATTGTTCCTGACAGTTTTGACATTCAACTCGACACACACCTCAAAGAAACTTAGACCAGCGTTTCTCAACTCTTTCGATACCTAAACTGTCGAAGACCATTAAATACAAGTACAAAAAAAAAAACCTGCGATTTAGATATGAGAAACACTGATTCAGACAACGGAAACACAAACCTTTTACTTCACAGCGTTGAAAAATAATCGTGTTCCACTATCCAAAACATATTTAAATAACCCGTACACAGACTTAATTGTATAAAGTCCAAAAAATTTTCACTGCACTGAAAATGTACAGTTTTCCTAAAAAGTCACTTTTGATAGGAAAGCACGACTGTTTATGGAACTCTTATGTCATACCGTAGATAGCGGTACACTAAAGCAGTGTAACTGTTCTTATAGGTACCATGATATATGGACTACTAACAGCAGGCCAATATCTATACAGCAAGCACCACTACTATTAACAACTGATTGTACTCTTAACAGTAGGCCATTCTCTATATAACAAGCACTCAGTGCTGTTTTTAAGGACAAGAAGGTGGGATGGGTAGGAAAGGTATATCTTCTATGCAATATATTGTTCATTAGTTCAACAAAAATACACAGTACACAAAAAACTCCATGTCACACTATATAAAGTAAAACTATACTATTGCATATTTGGCAAACGTGTATTTTGCGAAAAACGGTTACTCAAAATAATAAGAGTGACATATCCGTTAAATCATTTGTGCGAAACATTTTTTTTTGGGGGGGGGGGACATATTTTTATTCAATAAAGGTGAAAGGTTCCAGCATCGACGTTCTTTCATTATTGTTATATTTATAAAGCAAGCTGCAGCAGGCCTAGGGTTATAGCATGACGTTCGAGGATTATCAGCTATACCGACGATCTTTGTGGGACAAGAAAAGTTGACGATCATTGCTAACGAAATTAATAATGCGAAACAGAAGTTTCAATAACCACACAGTGAAGTGCAGATGCTAGAATTGAGTGTGAACTAAGTGACAGATGAGATACATATTATTCTTCCCATAAATAGTCTGAACTAAGTAACAGATGAGATACAGATTTATTCTTCTTCTAAATAATCTGAACTAAGTGACAGATGATATACAGATTTATTCTTCCCATAAATAGTCTGAACTAAGTGACAGATGATATACAGATTTATTCTTCCCATAAATAGTCTGAACTAAGTAACAAATGAGATACAGATTTATTCTTCCCATAAATAGTCTGAACTCAGTGACAGATGATATACAGATTTATTCTTCCCATAAATAGTCTGAACTAAGTAACAGATGAGATACAGATTTATTCTTCCCATAAATAGTCTGAACTAAGTGACAGATGAGGTACATATTTATTCTTCCCATAAACAGTCTGAACTAAGTAACAAATGAGATACAGATTTATTCTTCCCATACTTAGATATTAGTTTAAACTGAATGGTGGTATAGCTAGGAAATAATCGGTATCTTCATCAGTCAGTTCCATCACATTTCTGATAGGATAGCTAGAAAATGATCGAGGCTCTCATCAGTCAGTTCCATCACATTTCTGATGGAATAGCTAGAAAATGATCGACGCTCTCATCAGTCAGTTCCATCACATGTCTGATGGCATAACGAGGAAAATGATAGACGCTCTCATCAGTCAGTTCCATCACATGTCTGATGGCATAACGAGGAAAATGATAGACGCTCTCATCAGTCAGTTCCATCATATTTCTGATGGGATAGCTAGAAAATGATCGACGCTCTCATCAGTCAGTTCCATCACATGTCTGATGGCATAACGAGGAAAATGATAGACGCTCTCATCAGTCAGTTCCATCATATTTCTGATGGGATAGCTAGAAAATGATCGACGCTCTCATCAGTCAGTTCCATCATATTTCTGATGGGATAGC